CTAGCGGCGGTTTCTGCGGCACACATTCTGGCAGCCCTGTTGGAAGCGCATTTCGCGCGCGAGAAGCGAGAAGTAATCGCGAGTGCTCTGTATGTATGACCGATGCTATCCGAGAAGGAAATATGTAAGCCATTAATAAGACGGAGAAGCGAGTGCTCTGTAAGGTACTAACGTTCATATCGTCTAAAATTGTAGGTGGTATGCCGGTATCGCGCGAATCCATCTCCTGGTGTCCTCGCAGTCCATCCTCCTTTGGCTCGCCCTGGTCCTCGCCTGGTTCTCGCCTCGTCCTCGCATCCCCGTTCGACACCCGTTTGCCCCGAAAGTGCAACGATCAAGGTATGTGGCATGTTGCTCCACGTTGCACTTTAATAATTGTCGAGCGTTTGTTACATTCGCGCAATATATTTCAACAGCGAGTATATATTTGATATATTATGCGATCTATCATATGCTGCGCATAAAGCGCGGAGAACGCCGCTTTTTGATCTCGCAACGCTTCTCGCAACTGGACGCTACTAAATCGCCATTAGCGATTATTGATTAAAATATGCGGGATTTCACTGACTGTATTCTGACGATGATAACAGCGAGCCGCTGTTGCTTTTTCTTTTTTGTTTCCTAAAGATTTCGAATTAACTCTAGAATCATGAATTAAATCGAACTCGCATCTGAAGAAACACGCATTTTGCTTTCGAAGGAAAATGATTCGTTGATTGCTTATGGAAGATTGTTTTATTTCTGGTAAAATTATCATAAAGCTAAGACTCAAGAATAGATTGATCTTCGTGGTTGAGACATTTGAGAAACCCGTAACTTTGAATAAATCGTCGTTTGAAAAATTTGTCTGCGTTCTCTGGACAAACATTCTAGAGATCATGAGAGAAATAATTAATTAAAGGTAGAGGGTAATAGCAGAAATACAGTTACTTATTTATCGAAGTAAACTGTTGATCGTGAAATTAATAGCAAATTATAAATCAAATGTTTGATATAAAAGTTTATTCATAAAGACACTTGACGGTATCTTGTTCTCAATTAATACAATTAATATATTAAATTGATTTTTTTTATACAATCAAACTTGAACCTATTCGCGCAATAAGTTGTAAATTACCGTCAATTAGTAACTTTATTAGTTTCTCGATCAATAAATTTCCCGAAGGTAAGTAATCCACTTGATAACTCAAAGGAGTTTCTTCCCCAGATCTTTTTTATCGATCGCTATTACCTTTTTCGAGAGAATAAGCAGCTTGCAGTGAGATGGCTCTAGTGCATAATAATGATCCTGTATCGTAATTTTAAACTTTTATGAATATGTAATTTGCTGATTTAAAAAATCGTAGGATATATGACAAACATAAATACATCTATGTATACCTATACTCTAATATTTAATTTTTTATACATCATTGAATTTGTCTTCAACCAGCTTTAATTTCGTAATATTTTGTAACAAAGCATTTTTTTAAGCTATCAAAAACGATAGTAAATGGTTGAGATATTTTGAAAAATATAAATACATTTTTATAAAGTCTTTGAACTCAGAAAACCTTTTTTTAAAACGTTTTTTTTTATCTCTTATTATTCTAACGATATACATTTCGAAACATTAAAGTCAATTTTTTCAAAGGAATGTTTTACTTCTTAACGTGCATAAGAGCAATAATATTAATAATAAGAACACTTATTTTTATTTATAGTGCACATACAATATTTTATCTTATACTATCCAAAGCTTATCAAAATCGAGGAGGATATAATTATATAACTCATAAGTATTAACACTTGCGTATATTTTTTATGAAACTTTAATTGAGGGAAAATGATTAAAAAACCGTGTATATTAAATGCTAAAATTAAATGTTTAAATGTTAAAATTTAACATAACTAAGAAAGTTTGCTACATCAATCTTACGGAATTTATTTATTGTTGTCAGCAAAATTTAAAATCAGTTATAGTGTGAAGATTTATTTACAACGCTCTCTCTCTTTCTATCTCTCTCTCTGACTAACGACGAATAAATTAAATCTTGAATTAAAATCTGTGAATCATTGCTTAGGAAATACTCAGGTAACTTTGTTAAGCCTCGTGTCCACGATGCTAGAAATCGCTCCGAGACCTCGGACGGAGAAAGAATTAATTAATCGTATTGATTAATTGGCCGAATTCTTTAAATATGATTAGCCAATTTTTTCTCCAAGATCTCGGAGCGATTTCTAGTATCGAGGACACAAGGCTTTAGGTCGGTTTCTTTGATTTGTCAGCACTCTAAATTTGAGCGATGACAAATCTAAATCAGGAGTAAGAAAAAAAAAGAACTTATTACACGAGAAATTTTATCGGTTAAATTAATGCGGGATACCGATGCGATCCTTCGAACTTAGCTTCGGTCATTTTTCTAACGCAACGAAGTGTAACGCGGGGAGACGCGAGCTCCCGAACAGGTGAATGAGTACGGGAGGGCACGAATGATGAACGTCGGGGGTGCGGGAGACCGATAGAGGATACGGGCGTCGGATGGTGTTGGATCTCTTGACGGGTGCATCGATGTCCACTGGCTCCCAAGGGAAATCCACTTCATGATGGGAATCCCATTATTTCCCGAGCGATATAAAAGTAGGTAGTCCAGTCGTCCACGTGCTGTCCAGTTGAGGCTATTCCGACGGCCGTCCTCTATCCTCCCACGCCACATTGAGGCTCTGTTTTTCTCCGCGTTCCTCTCTTTCTTCTCTTTTTTGTTGCCTGTCGCATTTCTTTTCTCTCTCTCTCTCTCTCTCTCTCTCTCTCTCTTCTTATCTCTTTCTCTCTTTTTCTCCTCTTATGCCATTACCATTGTCTCCTCTCGTTCGCTCCTAGATCTCACTATTCTCCGTCCATTCTCAATCTATTTGATTCCAAGCCTGTCTCTCGAAGGCGACGCTACTACGAAGGACCATTTTTAGTTTCCACTAATACCATGTATTGCCATGAGATTCAACTTTAGCTATACGCAATTTGATAAACGGACGTCGATCTCAAGTGTATCACGAAGCTTTCGCATACGCCGTGACACTTGAACGTGCAATTGAATAAAAAAAAAAGAATATATAAAGAATTATAGAAGATATCAAAGATAAGAATATATTTTGTGCATTTGATTATTCCCAGGAGTGCATATAATATTTTTTATTGACGATTCAACGATAAATAAATTTCAAGCTGGGCGGGTTATAACGCGCAAATCACGATTGGATCACGTAGAATCAAAACGCTGGCGCGTAGCTTTCGCGAAAATAAACACGTTCGACAATTCAATATTGCCTCGATTCAATCGAGTGGCGCGTACGGTCGAAACGATAGACGGAGGTTCCACGCTGGGAGAGCGACTTGATAAAGAATTCCATCCCGGGGCCGTGGAATGGTCGTACAAGGTGCGGGCAGTATAAAATAAATATGTGAGACGCAGGGGGTGGCACTCCAGAAAAGATGGACGCCTGGAGAGAGGGCGTGAGTGCTCGGCACTGCCTCTCCGTAGTAGGGGTAGAGCGGAGAACGGGCTAGGTTGGGTGGACCGTGTGGAGATCGGCTGCAGGACTCGCGTGTGTGTTGCTGGGTAATTGATTTCTTTGATACCACCCGCGCCAAAGGAACATTGTAGATGCTTGCCTGCGTACGTACGTAGAGCTCCCGTAGGAAGGGACGAACGCTTCTCTCACTTTCTCTCTCCATCTCTGTCTCCATCTCTATCTCCTTCTCCTTCTCTCTTTCTCTCCATTTCACCCTCATAGGAGCCGACAGTGGGTAAAGGGAGGAGGATCCTCCCTAGGATATAGAATGTAAGAAGGGGGTGGAATTGAGGATGGTGGCAGATCTACCGTCCTTCGGATCGATGGATATCTCTGCGCCGGACAAGACCCTCTACCCTACCCTTCCATCTTCTCCCCGAGGATGACCAATAACAAACACCGTCGCTTCTCTCTCTCTAATGGAGTTTTTACCGATAAAAAATTCACTCCCTTTTCTCCTTTTTCCCGCGGACGGTTCCTACACCCGTTTCCTCCACTACTTTACTACCACCAGCGAACACCTACGCCCATTCGCCCGACTGACGGACCACCACCATCCTCTAGCACCTTCCAAACGCTGCCTATGGAACGACGCTTTCTTCGCGACATCTCCGGATTACGACGTGGCCGTCGCATTTGACTGAGGATGCTACACGGGGTATCGTAACGGATAAGACATCCGTAACCGAGAAAATGCTCTCGACTATTGCATTGCGCACGTTGATACGTGTTAGGACTAACAATAAACGTAGAGAACAAAGATATTGATGAATATGGGATATAATCATTTCTCCGATCTGATTGTTAAAATTCGTTAAAGTTTCTAGTATAACAGAGATTGATATAAGCGATTTTACAATTACCTAAATAACATCATATGTAAGTAACATCATATGTAAAGGGGAATCTGGGTAGAGCAGTCTCTCTCTTTAGAAGTGGAAATCAAGATATTTTTGCGGATGCCCTGCGATATATAGAAAACAGGTGGTTCAAACGTTTTGAAATTGTGGCCGTCGTCTTGTAAGATATGCAAATTAAGTGACACGCGAATGTCGGAGAACTAGGCAGTTTGTGGTCGTTGAGCGGCGGCAGTGCGGGGGTCGGTTGGCTTAGTTCGGCCAACAGGGGCCGGGAATTCGAGCTCTATCGTGTGCTGACGGTATGTATCGATTGTTCTGCGATATAATGCTAGCCACGCACATATGAGACCATGCGGGTGCTTCGTGTCGAGTTTGTGTATCCGATTCTCTCTTTATACTCTTGTT